CCCCAGCGCCCCCAGCTCGTTGCCATCAGCATGGGCCACATCACGCCAAGGCCCGGGAGCTATGAGCACCCTGGCCTGCCCTCTGGTCACCCCCCTGCAATCCTCTGGCATCAGCTGGTAGAAATCCTGCCAGTCTGCAGCCCATGGTCGGGCAGAGCAGAGCCAGGGGGCACGGAGCAGGGGTGGGGGCAGAGGCGTGTAAGGGCAGGCAATGGCAGGGGGAGAGGGCAAGTGGGGGGTCTGGGAGGAAGAGGTCGCTCAGGAGCATTTTGGGGGGAGGGACAGTGTGTGTGTGGGGCCTTGGGACAAGGACTGCAGGGCGGGGGATCACAGGTCCGGGTGCTTGGCCTCCCAACCCCACTTTTTGGGCACTTCGGTGATTCCAGGCTAGGAGAGCAGGGCCCGCCCCAGAGCAGCGCCCAGCCAAGGCAGGGGACAGCCTGTGTTAAGAACCCGGGGTAGAAGGACGGCTTGGCTGGCGGGGAAGCGAGAGGAGCTTTGTTGTTTGTGAACTCCGCCGGCAAGTGCCGGGAGCTGAGGGGTGGGGAGCCCTTCCCCGTATGCTGCATTTGCCAGTGACCCGGCACCTGGTTCCCTGCCCACTGACTTTCAGCCACTCATCCGCCTGTCACTGGACCGCCTCTCTCGATTTCATCCGGACACAAAGCGCTGTCAGGCCACGGACGGCACCAACCGCCCGCAGGAACGGCACCAAGCCTGCGTGACCAAGGCAAGGCTGATCCTCGCCAGCTTTCCCAAGGAGGCCGGCATTGTCCCCATTTTACAGCTGGGGAAACTGAGGCATGGAGGGGGCCACGACCTGCCCGCGGTCACACCCCAGGGCGGACTAGCAGCTCCGTTTCCAGTGGTTCGGGGGCTGTCTACACAGGTAGCGAAGATGTGACTGCAGCCCAGGCCGGCATAAGCCAGCGTGCTGTAATTTGGCTAACGTGTGTGTGCGAGTGCGTGTGCGAGGCATCCTCACCCCCATCGCGCCTCCAGCCTGCATCCTGGGAATTAGCTTGTTTGACTGGCTGGACCCTCTAGCAGGCTGGTGTCTCCCCGGGTTTCTCTTTGACCACGGCGCCCTCTTCAGGATGCTGCCCTCCAGCACTGCCCGTGCTAGTGTCTGAGCACCCCCCTCCGGGGGCTGGTGTTTATCCGGCTTGCACCCCAGGGCCCTCCCTTCCCCAGGGCACCCTGCTCCCCTCCCAGGGAGCACCCAGTTCCCCCGGACCCAGGGCCGGCCTTGGGATTTATGGTGCCCTAGGCAGGATTATGAAACTGGTGTCCCTAGGCCTGACTTGCTCTTCCACCCCTACTCCCTCCCCATCCCAGAGACTCCAGCAGCCAAACCCGTCCCTCAGACTGTGCTGCAGGCAGCGCATTGGGCTCTCTCTAGGGCCCGGCCCTGCTGTTCCATGTGTAACCCTTCCGCCGGGTAGGCCTGGCAGCAAGCAGGGCCGGGTTCAATATCTAGGGGCCCATCTCGCACAGAACCGGCTCGAGCCCCCACCCAGTAGCCTGGGAAATTCACATGCCCCCAGGCGCCTCTGAGAGGCAATGCTTCCCCACTCGCCAGCACACAATCTGAGTGAAGAAAAGAGAGAGAGATCACATGGCATTATCTTGGGAAAATACCACAACAGCGTTCCCTTACCCAAACTTTCTCCGTACCCCACTTTAGACGCCCCACGTACAGCTCTGTCCAGTCTGTGCAGACCCTGACACATCATCCGGATGACTCTCCTCTTTGGCCATGTCGGGTTCTTGAGCAAGAAGATTTACAGTAGGGTTTGGTGAGAGGGCTTCTTGCGCAAGAGCTACGCTCTTTTCTAACAGGTGTAAGCTGTCTTGCTCAAGAGCTCACGCGCAAGAGGGCAGTGTGGACGGGCGGCAGGGGTTTCTTGCGCAAGAGAGCGTCCACACAGCCATGGGTGCTCTTGCACAGAAGCTCATGTTGCTCATGGCACCGTGGACGTGTTCTTGTGTAAGAACCCACCAGTGTAGATATAGCTCTTGAGCCTGAGGCTGGGCCACCTCTGTGCTGCTCCTGGGCTGCGTCTAGATTGGCATGATTTTCCGGAAATGCTTGTAACAGAAAAGTTTTCTGTTAAAAGCATTTCCGGAACAGAGCGTCTAGATTGGCAGGATGCTCTTCCGCAAAAGCACTTTTTGTGGAAAAGCGTCCGTGCCGATCTAGACGCATGTTTCTGCAAAAAAGCCCCGATGGCCATTTTCGCGATCGAGGCTTTTTTGCGGAAAACAAATCTGAGCTGTCTACACTGGCCCTTTTGCGCAAAAGCTTTGCGCAAAAGGGACTTTTGCCTGAACGGGAGCAGCATAGTATTTCTGCAAAAAGCACTGATTTCAGACAGTAGGAAGTCAGTGCTTTTGCGGAAATTCAAGCGGCCAGTGTAGACAGCTGGCAAGTTTTCCAGAAAAGGGGCTGATTTTCCGGAAAAAATGGTGGCCTGGTGGCCCCCCCCGCCAGCTGCTCGCTGGTTATTCTCACTGGCTGCTCCATTGTCTGCAATGGGTCAGGCTCCCAGACAAACCAGTGATTTCAGCTCTTAGCAATTTCAACTCTTTAGTCAGCATCTCCGCTGGCAAAAGTTTCCAGCTTCCACTGAACTAGCAAAAAGACGCCCCATGGAGTCTGCTTTAGGTCTGTCCTTAAATCGGGGGAAAGGGGCAG